AGTTAGGTTAGGTGTTTGACACTATTCTAACAAGGAGAAGTGATTCCCACTTATTAGAACAGTACAGCACCCTTTCACTGTAAAGCAAGGAGGGGCAACTTGTGACTATTCAACATGTTCTGGGAGCACAACCTTCATCAGCCCAGATCAGTCAATATTGGGAAATATCTGACAGTCACAAGTGGCACAAATCTGGTGTAAAGCATATTGCAAACAATGCACATGCCTCACAAACTGCAAACACACAAATAATGGGCAGCTTTCAGCTAATTCCAAGCATGGGGGGGGGGGTCAAAATGAATATACAAAAGACGCTACAGAGTAAGAGCAGACTTTCAGAGAAGACCTGTCCCTGATTGTGGGCTGCCACTGGCAGGCACCAAGAAAGGGTTTATGTGATGTGACTATCCTCTGAATTACAACAGCGGTCACAGAAGTCAGGATTACTGCATCACAGTGGTGAAGTCAGCTTGACCAAAATTTTCATTTAGGGAGCTCAATGTCAGAAATGGATTGTCTCAAGGAAAGAGGGTGAAAATGTCTTCTCTCTATACAACATCCCAAGACGCTGCCTGGCAAACCGAAAACACCTGGTCTGTCTGGCTAATAATTTAAAAAACAAATCGGACTATGGGAACAGAGAAGTAAAGAGGCAATGGTATTGAGGATTACAGCATATTTAATTATATTGCCTAAGATGAGTGGACAAATAAGGCTGTGACTGTTACATTCTGCCTCTTCAAGAAGCAGGCCACCAGAAACCAGTCAGTCCTGCATAAATTTCAGGATTCATAACAGTCCTGAGCCTTGATGAAACAAGGATACTTGTCAGTTAAATTTTACTTGTTATCTTTCTCCCAGTCTATTTTCCCAACAGACTTGAAACTAAATTGCATTGGGTTTTCAGAAGTGTCGAGTCTATGCTACTTTTCTCATCTATGCAATCTTATCCCATCTACCCCATCCTATCATTTATCTTTGAAACTGATGGTGGTAGTTTTATAGCACTGACAGAAGCAATACTACAGCTCCCAGCAGTTCTAGGCCCCTTCCACACAGCTGAATAAAATCCCATATTATATACTTTGAACTGGAATATATGGCAGTGTTGACTCAGGGCCCTTCCACGTAGCCCTATAATCCCAGAATATCAAGGCAGAAAATCCCACATTATCTGAGTGTGGACTCAGATAACCCAGTTAAAGGCAGATATTGTGGGATTTTCTGCCTTGATATTCTGGGATACAGGGCTGAGTGGAAGGGCCCTCATCAGAATAGCTAAATATAAGGAAGTATTTGACATCTTTGTCCTGGTTGTGTGACTCTGACCCCTGGTTTATAGAGTTAAATAGAAAACCTACTTCCAAAATATCATGTAAGTGAAATTTTTGGTTGAAGATAACATTATGTACACCAGGTGTCCTCAAACTTTTTAAACAGAGGGCCAGGTCACAGTCCCTCAAACTGTTGGAAGGCCGGATTATAACTTGGGGGGGGGGGGGGGATGAATGAATTCCTATGCACATGGCACATATCTTATTTGTAGTGCAAAAAACCCACTTAAAAACAATACAATAATTTAAATGAAGAACAATTTTAACAAATACATAAACTTATTAGTATTTCAATGGGAAGTGTGGGCCTGCTTTTGGCTATGAGATAGGATTGTTGTTGTTGTTGTTGTGTGCTTTCAAGTCATTTCAGACTTAGGTTGGCCCCGAGCGAGGGCCAGGTAAATGACCTTGGAGGACCGCATCCGGCCCCCAGGCCTTAGTTTGAGAACCCCTGATGTACACCATAATATAAAACCTGACATAACGGGATAATCAGAAATGATTTACCTCGAAGGTTGTTTTTGTTTTAATTAGTGAGTGGGTAAAACAGTGGTCAGTCAAAACTTTTATGGGTCCAGAGAGAGCTTTTATTATACAGTTATCCTTCCCAGTCACACATTTACATGTTGTACAGACAACACATTTCATTCACAACCCCTTATGTTTTCCCACTATTTTGACATTTTTTTTTCTTATTACAGGTAATGAATACATTGATGCTATAAAGATGGAAAAGCTGCACAATATAATATTTTGATTTCTGGACAAAGGTTCCACCCCCATATAGAAACTCACACTGTTTTAATCAGGTTTTTGGACTTTGTCCCAAATGTGTTTGAGTAGTGAGAGAAGATATACATAATGGAAAGGAGAATTGACAGGTATGCACTTAGATTGACAATTGGAGGAAACGCCTCATTTTGCAAACTGAAACAAGCAACAACTCTGAGAGGGAGGGAGAAAGACAAGGCTTCAGCGTGGTTTTCAGCAAGAGAGACGCAGGCCAAGTTATCTTTGATTACATTAAACTAGTAACAAGTAGCCTATCACAGGACCAGAATGGTCTCAGAAGCATGCAAGCATGACAGGAAATTTCCTTCTCATAACTTAATTATTGTCTGCCAACACTAATGCAACAAATGTATGCAAGTAGGTAACCTCTATAAGCATTTGGTTATTCATTAATTAGCATAATAATCAAATTTTTCTTTGCATTGTGTAGGCTTGATCGTTTCTGATCTCTTTTTAATAATCAAAACCATGATTACCGATACCACGATGATTCATAATTTCCTGAAATTATAAAGTTTTTATGATTATCAAATGACTTTATCACTAAATGCTGCATAATAAACAGTATTTTGATTTGTAGGAGTAGGTACCCTCTATATATGTTCATGGTTATGAATTGGCTTTATCATCAAAAAATAATAAGAAACTACAGCACACTGGCATCAATATTCCTTGCATATATTCTGCCCTGTCTAATGACAACATTGGGGGATGAAAGAAGGAATTTGGCCCAGGGCCTCTTCTCTTAAAGTCCTGCATTTCAACCCCAATTTCACTATAGAATGGGGAAGTTTATGTCGCAGTAACAGGCAGCCTTGTTCATTGTGCACCCCCATTCATATCAAATGAAGTGGAGAAGCAACTAGTGGTTTAACCAATCTATGGGCCCTGGGATAAAGAATTTCCAAAAATTAAAGGAGAGCACTGCATAAGGCTAGAGCATGTTCCCGTTGCCATAGGGATGACTGTGGACAACAAATTTCTTACAGAAAGTATCCCTTGCCCAGCCCAGAACATTTAAAAGCACTGTGAGCTCAGCTATACCATTTCTAGCCTCTTCTCCATATCTCCTTCAGCAGCCACCAACAGTATAAAGGCTGAAAATGGGATGGCCAATCCTAACTGCTCTTAGATGTTGCAGGTTGGGTTTGATGGCATCGCTTTGGCAACTGTGGCAGATGCTCCAGCCCATGTGATGCTAGGAAGTAACAGTGATGTAGTGTTGTAGATCTTATGTCTTTCATGGGGTTCTTCAGCATAGAAGCCTTTGGCACTTCTGGCATTTTGCTTAGAAAGAAAGAAGAGAAACAGCCCAGTTAACGTTGGATTTCGTAGGACAGCAAATTCAAGTAGAACAACAATTGAAACAAGACACTTTTACATGGTAAAGAAAACAGGACTACACACCTAACCGTCAAGCTGGGACAACCGATACATAGGTAAATGGAAGTGCTATTCAGTGACCTTCCAGACAGTCCCATATCCCAGAATATCAAGGTAGGAAATCACACGATATCTGCTTTGAACTGGGTTATCTGCCATACAGAAGTTCAAAGCAGATAATGTGGGATTTTTTTTCAGCTGTGTGGAAGGGGCTTCAGGGCCCTTCCACACTCTGCCTTGATATTCTGGGATACAGGGATGTGTAGAAGGACCCCCAAAATGATTTCCCCAATCTCTTGACTTGAATGGCTGTGCAACACCTCAAAGGGCCCTTCCACACAGCCATATAACTCAGCATATCAAGGCAGATAATTGACAATATCTGTTTTTAACTGGATTATCAGGAAATCACAAGACGCTTACTTCTTGGGAGGAGAGCAATAACCAATCTTGATAAAATAGTGAAGAGTAGAGACATCACATCAGCAATGAAGATAAAGTTAAAAGCAATGGTATTCTCCGTAGTCACCTATGGATGTGAGAGCTGGACCATAGGGAAGGCTGAGTGAAGGAAGATAGATGCTTTTGAACTGTGGTGTTGGAGGAAAGTTCTGAGAGTGCCTTGGACTGCGAGAAGATCCAACCAGTCCATACTTCAGGAAATAAACCCAGCAGCTCACTGGAGGGAAGGATATTAGAGGCAAAGATGAAGTATTTTGGCCACATAATGAGAGGACAGGAAAGCTTAGAGAAAACAATGATGCTGGGGAAAATGGAAGGAAAAAGGAAGAGGGGCTGACCAAGGGCAAGATGGATGGATGGCATCCTTGAAGTAACTGGCTTGACCTTGAAGGAGCTGGGGGTGGTGATGGCCGACAGGGAGCTCTGGCGTGGATTGGTCTATGAGGTCACAAAGAGTCGGAGGCAACTGAACGAATGAACAACAAACTGGATTATCTGAGTCCGCATTGCCATATAATCCAGTTCAATGTGGATTTTATACAGCTGTATAGTCAAAGAGAAAGGGGTCAAATAGATACCTGGAAAAGCATCCATCTATGGCAGGCATGGGCAAACTTTGGCCCTCCAGGTGTTTTGGACTTCAACTCCCAGACATCTCAGCCAGTTTACCAGTTGTTAGGAATTGAAGTTTGCCCATGCCTGATCTAAGGGCTCCAAATCTTCCACTCCTGCCTGAGCCTAACTGTACATCCTTAAAGTACATCAGCCACAGACAGGCACTACAGCTTCCTTCTTTTTTTAAAAAACTACACAAACAAACAACACTTCTGTAGGAGAATTTGACAAGGAACATCACAATCCCATCTCTCAGTTTATGCTGTGGTGTCATTTTTGACAGCAGTCTACCATCGACATAAAAAGGCCATTCAGCGACTCACAATATGTTCCATTTCACACTGTAAATATATGCAACAGGAGTCACGCCAGGTGACTTTGAGTTCCGGGTTTCAACTGGGAGCCGCTACTTACCTTTTCTTTGGTTCGCAGGTACCTCTGGAGAGCCTGGTGGGTCACATCTTTAACCCGGATCTGCCCATCCTTACAGGGAACCACAATCCCTGTCTTTCCAAAACAAACTGTCACTTTCATCGCTCATCCAAGGAAAGCCAATGTTACTAATTGGGACTTCCTTTTTTGAAAAATTCTCTGAACAGTCTTTGCTTGAGAAGGGGAGCCAATGAAGCCTTGGAGACTGCTAAACTTTGAAGCTCAGAGGGAGGCGGGGAGGAAAGAACTGGACGTTTCTCCCAGCAGCAGGTGTTTTGCTTTTGTTCTTGTTGAATGGTGCTCTGAGGAGACAGAGAGGAAGAAGTGGGAAAGGAGGACAAGAGCTACTGAGGGGGAGAAAGAGAGAGAAAGAGGGAGAAAGAGAAAGGAAGAGGCCTAGAGGGCGAAGGCGAGCGCCAGCTAGGAACTGTAACAAAGGTCACCCACACTTGCGGGGAAAACACAGATTAAGCCAAACGGGGTCTGCCTGAAGGATTACAGCAGGCTGTGTCTGTCTACCTCAGGGAAGGGGGTCGCCTCAGCCCCACACAGAAAGGACTCAAGCCTGGGGAGGTGAAGGACTCAAGTCTGAGGGAGAGTTGGGGAAGGGAGGGAGGGAGGGGCGAGAGAGAGGGGCCAGGAACTCCAGAGAAAGAGCCCACACACAGTCCCTGGAGGGCAGGCCTCCCTTTGCCACCGCCCCTCACCCACTTCCCTACAGGCGGAAGGAAGGGGAAAGCGAAGCAGGCCGAGGCAAGCGGGAGGCCTCCTCCTTCCCGCCCAGCAGTCCAGCCACGCTGCCCCTCTCCCTTGGCTACGCGCCTCTCTGCCCTTCCAGGGTGCAGGGTGCGCGCGCAGCCCTCGTCTTCTGGCTCGCGCCCCTGCTCCCGCCGCCTGCGCGCGCGCCCCCCAAGTCGAGCTCGCGCCTTCTCCACAATCTCCAGGAAGGACCCACGGAGCCGCTCTCCAGGTCTGAGAGGAGAGTGGCTTGGCATCCCGGCACGCGATACTCCCCCCCCCCCCATCACTTCCGCGACTCCCGGGCCTTAAAGGGGACGCGGCCCCGCCTGGACAGTCCTTATTGCTTTATATCCCGCTTTATCTCTCCATACACTGATCAGGCCCCTTCTACACAGCTGAATAAAATCCCACATGATCTGCTTTGAACTGGAATATAGGGCAGTGTGGACTCAGATAACCCAGTTCAAAGGAGATCTTGTGGATTACCTGTGTTGATATTCTGGCTCATGTGGCAGTGTGGAAGGGCCTGGATTATCTGAGTCCACACTGTGACCCATTTAAGGTGGAATCAGGTGTCAAACAGGGATGTGTTATTGCCCCAGCTTTATTTTCCATCTTCATCACTATTTTTTTTGTCTTGTCAGGAGCAACTTGAGAAACTGCAAGTCGCTTCTGGTGTGAGAGAATTGGCCGTCTGCAAGGACATTGCCCAGGGGATTCCTGGATGATATAATGTTTTTATCATCCTTGTGGGAGGTTTCTCTCATGTCCCCGCATGAAGAGCTGGAGTTGATAGAGGAAGCTCATCCGCCTCTCCCCGGATTCGAACCTACGACCTGTCGGTCTTCAGTTTATTTTATTTATTTATTATTTACTTTGCTTGTATACCGCAGTTTCTCAGCCCGTAGGCGACTCAACGCGGTTCACAACAAGACCAAAAAGTCAATCCAACAGGCATAAAAAAATTAAAAAACCATTAAACAACATAATATACAGGGTAATAACACATCAAGTTGGAATCAGATGTGAAACAGGGATGTGTTATTTCCCCAGCTTTATTTTCCATCTTCATCGCTATGATACTTCATATTGTTGATGGGAAGCTTCCCACCGGAGTGGAAATCATCTATCGGACAGATGTCAAGCTGTTTAACCTCAGCAGACTGAAAGCCAAAACCAAGGTTACAACAACATCTGTTATGGAACTTCAATATGCTGATAACAACGTCGTCTGTGCGCATTCAGAAGAAGACCTACAAGTCACTCTAAACACCTTTGCAGAAGCATACAAGAAGCTCAGCCTGTCATTGAACATCGAGAAAACCAAAGTGCTGTTCCAGCAGTCACCAGCCAACCCCTCTCCAATGCCAGAAATACAGCTTAATGGTGTAACATTAGAAAATGTTGATCATTTCCGCTACCTTGGCAGCCACCTTTCCACAAAAGTCAACATTGACACTGAAATACAGCATCGCCTGAGCTCTGTGAGTGCAGCTTTTTTCTGAATGAAGCAGAGAGTGTTAGAGGACCGGGATATTCACAGGGATACCAAGGTGCGTATTTATAAAGCTATTGTCCTCCCAACCCTTTTTTACGCCTGCGAGACATGGACTGTTTACAGACGTCACATACAACTCCTGGAACGATTCCATCAGCGCTGCCTCTGGAAAATCCTGCAAATCTCTTGGGAAGACAAGCGGACAAATGTCAGCATGCTGGAAGAAGCAAAGACCACCAACATTGAAGCGATGGTCCTCCCATCAACTCCGCTGGACCGGCCACCTTGTTCGGATGCCCGACCTCCATCTCCCAAAGCAGTTGCTCTACTCCGAACTCAAGAACATAAAACAGCATGTTGGAGGACAGGAAAAGAGATTTAAAGATGGACTCAAAGCCAACCTTAAAAACTCTGGCATAGACACTGAGAACTGGGAAGCCCTGGCCCATGATTGCTCCAGTTGGAGGTCAGCTGTGACCAGCAGTGCTGTAGAATTTGAAGAGGCACGAATGGAGGGCAAAAGAGAGAAACATGCCAAGAGGAAGGCACATCAAGCCAATCCCGACCAGGACCACCTTCCACCTGGAAACCGATGCTCTCACTGTGGGAGAAGATGCAGATCAAGAATAGGGCTCCACAGCCACCTACGGACCCATCAGTACACTGATCTCGGAAGACTATCCTACTCAGACAATGAGGGATCACCTAAGTAAGTTATATTCTGGATTATGTGGCTGTGTGGAAGGGCCCCGAGTTATCTGAGTGCACACTGCCATATAATACAATTCAGTGTGGATTTTATACAGCCGTGTCGAGGGGGCCTAGGTTGCCCATTGTGTTGAGTTACTAATTGTGGATATTATTATATTGGCCCTCAGGCCCCACAACCATATAACCCAGAATATCAAGGCAGAAAACCCCACAATATCTGCTTTGAACTGAGGGCCCTTCCACACAGCCCTATATCCCAGAATATCAAGGCGGTAAATCCCACATTATATGCTTTGAACTGCATTGAGTTCACACTGAATTAATGTGGGATTTTCTTCCTTGATATTCTGGGATATAGGGCTGTCTGGAAGGCCCCTGGTTTCTTTATATGGCAAACTTTAGGAACCAGTGCATTATAAAATTACAATTAGGCCTGACCCACTGGAAAGGGTGTGAGCAAGGATTACTTCGGCTAAGTAAATTAGCATCCTCTGGGCTAAAGGAAGCATTACATGGGAGACACAGGGCGCTTCCACACAGCCCTATAACCCAGAATATCAAGGCAGAAAAACCCACAATGTCTGCTTTGAACCGAGGGCCCTTCCACACAGCCCTATATCCCAGAATATCAAGGCAGTAAATCCCACATTATATGCTTTGAATTTAGTTATCTGAGTTAATGTGGGATTTTCTTCCTAGATATTCTGCCATATAGGGCTGTGTGGAAGTGCCCCGAGGGCCGGTCTAGACAGACCCTATATCCCAGGATCTGATCCCAGGTTTTATGTTTATCCCAGATTATTTGGTAGTGGAAACTCATATAATCCAATTTAAAGCAGAAAAGCAGGGATCCGATTCTGGGATATAGGGTCTGTCTGGAAGGGCCCTGGGTTATCTGAGTCCACAATGCAATATATTCCAGTTCAAAGCAGATAATGTAGGATTTTATTCAGCTGTGTGGAAGGAGCTTTCAGTAAAGGGTAAGTTCCGGGAGCTAAATGCCATTTGAGCTCTTAAAAGCAAACAAAAATAAAAAGTACCTTCTTCAACTCCTTTAGCTTGATTTATCACTTGGGATTACTAGATCTGGAAGGAATGTGGCCTCCTCTTCTTGTATATGTTGCTGTTTTGAATCCAGTGGAAAACACAGGCAAGTGAGGAACTCACCCAGCAACAATGTTTCAGATAGTCTATACTTGGGGCCAGGCTGATTCAAAAGGGTGACAGATACGTTGTGGCTTTTTGGCGCCTTCAAATTGTTCCCATATTATGGTGTGTTTTCTGGGGCTGAGAATGTGTGACTTTCTCAAGGTTACCCAGTGGGTTTCCATGGCTAAGTAGTGACTCGAACCCTTGTTTCCAGAGTCTTAGGGTGCATCTCCACTATCGAATTAGTGCAGTTTGGCACTACTTTAATTGCCATGGCTCAGTGCTATGAACTCATGGGAGTTGTGATTTAGTAGGGCGCCAGAACTCTTTGGAAGAGAAGGCAAAGTCCTTGTAAAACTACAAGTCCCATGATTCCACAGCAGTGAGCCACAGCAGTTAAAGTGGTGCCAAACTGCATTTATTCTACAGTGGATATACATCCTTAGGCCCCTTCTACACTGCCATGTAAAATCCAGATTATCTGCTTTGAACTGGATTATATGACAGTGTAGACTTATATAATCCAGTTCAAAGCAGATAATGTGAATTATCTGATTTTATAATCCAGATTATATGGCAGTGTAGTAGGGGCCACATACAATCCAGTTCAAAGAAGATTATCTACTTTGATAATCTGGATTATATGGCAGTGTAGACGGGGCCTCAGAATGGCTTCCCCATGTATTCGTATTCAGGTTGCAATTATATGCTTATAACCAAGTTCCGCAGAAGTTGGTGGGATTTCCTATTGAATGTTCATTGCTGTTTGCCTTCATGTTTCTGGCCTATGATGACTCTAAAGCAGTGGTTCCCAACCTTTTTTTTTTTTTGACCAGGGACCACTTGACCAGGGACCACTCCCCAGCATTAGCACCAAAAGGGTTACACATCAGTTTTTGATCAGTTTTAGATTCAGTTTGGTTATTTGGGGTGCTGATTCAGAAAATTGCATTGGATAGACCACATCAGCTCTACTTTCCGATACAGAATATATGCCATCCAGTAGTCACCATCTGCCTGCCTACAGAAAACCATGTTTAATAATCTAAAGCTGATGTGGTAGTTGTAATCTTGTTGGGTAGTCAGCCCCTCCCCTCCCAACATCCCTGTTGCCTCAACACTATAAGTCATTGCTACATGGTTTTGAGGCAACAGTTTTCATTCTTTCTGACCACTGGTGGTCCATGGATCACAGATTGGGAACCACTGCCCTAAAGCAAATCTATTACAGCAATTTTTGTTCAGATGAAGTTTGCCATGGCCCTCCTCTGAGACTGAGAGCATGTGACTTGACCAAAGTTAGCTAGTAGGTTTTATGGCTGAGCAAATATTTGAAACCTGGTCTCCAGAGTCATAGGCCCATTCTACACTGCCATATAATACAAGTTATCAAATCAGATAATCCAGATTATCTGCTTTGAACTGGATTATATGAGTCTACACTGCCATATAATCCAGTTCAATTTAGATAATCTGGATTTTATATGGCAGTGTAAAAGGGGCCATAGTCTAATGTTCAAGCCGCTACACCACACTAGCTCTCTGAGTACATAGCCATAACTCCTCTGCTCTGTAAGGAGGGAATATGGTAGAATTAAACTTGAAGATAGTAGTACCTTTAAGAAAAACAAACAAACAAAACACTTCAGGAATAAACTTTCATGAACTCTAGTCAAGTTTATCAGATACAAGTTAGCCTCAAAGGTGCTACAAGATTCCTTTGTATCTCTACAGTATTTTTATGGTTATAGAATAACACTGTAGTGTCTTTTAACAGTTCTCAACTGGCTACATTGTCTACTTACTTGTTTCTGGACACAATTTACAGTGACTGTAGTAACCTCTAAAAGCCACATAGATAAAGACATAAGCCAACAATGCTGAAACCATTTTTGACTGGGAACCACAAA